CGGGCTCCCGTTCGCGTAAAGCAACGCGAGAGACGGCAAACTATGGCTTCGTGGATCTCTCTCCACGATAACAGCACCGGAGTGTGACGGAGCGAGGAAGAAAGACGAAACTTGCAGGGCTCGAAATAGGAGGGGCGGTGCTCCTGCAGCTCGATTAAAACGTTTGGAGATTGGGGCCGCGGCTGCTCGCGCGGTTGTCATGTTGTTAATATCGCAGGGCCCGTGCGGCGAGATTAAGGCGCGATAAGACACGGAATCGAGATCGAACGGAATTAAGTTCCGCCGCGTTAAATGGCTTGCGCGCGTCGTCGTTGTTTTGGCAAAAGGCACTTTGCGCGCGAGCCACGGCTTTATAACCCGGCGTTATTGATGTTGGATTTTGCATGCGGACGTTCATTGGTAAGCCGAGATGTTATCGGCCTCGCTTGATATATCGACGAATAATTATTAAAATGTTTGATGAGGACTTTATAAGGGCTTGCGTTAAACCGGTCGTATCTACGAAACTTATTAAGTGTTTCTTTATCGCGCACAGTTTTTGAATGCGATCGAGTGCAAAATTATGACGGTATAATTGTCGAGGCCATTAAAATTACGCTATCGAGTGCGGCCCCGGATCGCTTTATCATTAATTCTCATTATATAATTGCTTCGTATGAACTTGGTTACTCAGTTTGTTAAAGAAATTGCGTAAAATGATGATTGGGAGGTGACGATTCTTCGGAATGGCTTTCAATTCTCTTAAACTCTTCTCTCACAATTTTTCTGTATAATCAAGTAGCCAGTTATGGGAGTAAGAAAAGGGTAAAAAAATTAAGTACAACCGAATTCTTATACATTTGCTGTCTAAGCCGAAATTCGTCTATCAATTCAATTATATAATGTAATGTGATTATATTACATTTATTTTCTTGCTACTTTTCGTACGAAGTTGTATATTAATATCCACATACGTCTATGCGGGCGAATCGTGTAAATCGATTTATATTTATTTTAATATATTAAATTTTCTAACATTAATTACGTAATAAATCAAACGCTCTTATTAAATAAATCATTAAATAAAGATTTTTATAGTATCTCCTTTTTTTTTTTTTTTTTTTTTTTTTTTTTTTTTTTTTTTTTTTTTTTTTTTTTTTTTTTTTTTTTTATAAAATTAATATTTTTTTAAGCCAAAAACATATTTCAAAAACATATCTCGATATTTTATTTATATTTCACTTTTACAACAACAGATTGTATTTGAAAATTATGTTTATGATATAATTTATGAAATTCTATATTGGAAATGCAATTTTATTTATGCGTATGAATAAATGATTAGCTATTTACAGAGTCATGTACATCATAAATTTTTGTATTTTTGCATCATTAAGGTAATGAATTAAACATAAGTATCAGAAGTTTGATCGAATTTAATATGAATGTAACGATAGTTATTTGCATTATTATTAGAAAAGGACAAACGAAACATCATAATTTATGTACAATTTCCGTGCATGATTTGTGCTATTTACCTTACTTTTCACATAATAGAGCTCCTGATTGGATATCATTTCCCATGAGATTATTAGAAAATGCGTTAAAAATCTTTTCAATTCTTGTAAAACAATAATAATCGTTAATTACTTGTAGATATTAATTGAACATTTATTTCGGAATAATCGAAAATGAGATGTACATTAGGTAGGAAGGAGCACGCATCAAGGATAATTAATAATAAAATAAGCATGTAAATTTAGTATAATATATTTTCCATATATCTTTTGCTATACAGACATTATGTTACAAAGCATGATTTACTATATATTTCTTGCTGCTTGAAGACTTATAGCTTTTAATATCGAACCGGCTTAGAAAGAAGAGAAAAAAAACCGAGACGAATCAATCGATGTACAGGACAAAATCGATTGATCGATCAATCGAAGACGAACGCATCAGGAAATGCCGGTTATTATCTGTATTTCGCACTATCGATCATGTCACATGCATAATTAACACCTTTATTCGCTCACTTTTGTCACACTAACATTCCCACACACACTCACTCTTAACGCTTCAATAAAATCTAGGTAATTTTATACATTCATAATACTGGTACTCCCACCTATCGAACGCTCTGCACCTCTTCGGGTCAATCGTTAAACTGCCTCTGGATTGTCGACGGGCCAATAATTAATTTATCGCTGGTAAAAGAAAGCTGCAAGAGAGTTGGCGCATTTTTTGTTTTCTCGTGAATGATTTTGACTGTAAAGTTAGGTGGCCCTCCGAGTTCCGTCCCTCCGAGTCGAAAATTTTGCTCCCACTCTTTACATTCTAAACGTCGACAAATCTTCCACTTGAATCGTCAATTCGATATTTTTTTCCACCTCGTCGTTTTTGCTTTTTGCCTGCATCTTCAATGAATTTCGAGAATCATTTTTAGATAAAAGGTACGACAACTAGGATGTCATTTACAAATAATATTATCGACATTTAGTAACATTTCTCTCGACAATCTCTTCGTATAAATAAAAAAAAAAAAAACAAACAAAATTTCCCTTTATCCAGTTATTGTTTCATAAAGCTTTCACAGATTGAACGACAGTTACACATTTTTTTTTCAATCAAACATTTAATCGTCTTCGCGCGGACGAACTGTCGTTCACGTCTTTAAATATCATCCCAATAACTGCGCTAAGGCCTATCGCACTATCGTCGAACGCACGAATTTCTCTACTTCCTTTCTCCTTACTTCAATTCTCTGCCGATAAAGATAAACTTAGCAAAAACTACGAATTTAATTCACTCTATTCCTACGCAACTGTGTACAATCAAGTGAATCTTACTCGGCATACACAGTACACAGTCGGGTCATTATTTTCTCTCAACATTTATTTCTCGTTCATTTTTACAAAGTCGGATAGTTCGAAAGAAACCATACAAAGTCTCACGTATTATATACATAGTTTGGAGTTTAGCGTCGTTAGGAACAGTCAAATAACGATTTTCGGCATTGCACATAATCGGCGGAATCGATTCAGTTTCTACTAATCTTCTACCGTAACTCTCCAGTTTATTAAAAATATTTGTATGTTTTTTTTTTTTTTTTTTTTTTAATCTCAAACCTAATTCAATTATCATACGTAATTCACATCCAGTCCTCGCTTCTCGCTCTTTCAATAAATAAAAATTAGATAAGTTATACCGTTATGTTATGCGCACGAAGCACTTGCGCTTTAAAGTCGATAAAAAAAAAAAAAAAAAAAAAAAAAAAAAAAAAAAATAAGGAAAAATGTTCAATAATCAATGGAATATTACAGTTGAGTTCCTTACGAACGACCTTACCATACGCTATGAACAATAATATCGAGCGAGAGAATAAATGAAGACGAAGTGGGAGAAGAAAAGAACAACGAAGATGTATGTACAAGATGGGAACAAAAGAAAAAAAAAAGAAAAAAAAACGAGCGAACTAATTAATGCCCGAAACATCATTTAATCTCCTCTGCGAAATTTCCATGGTATTTATATTAATCAGGCAGTGAACGCGCGAGCATTTCGCACAGACCTCTAAGAGAAAGAACCAAGCAAAGAAAAAAGAGATAGAAGTGGGAGAGAGACGTAGAGAGATAGAGATAGAGACAGATAGATAGATAGATAGAGAGAGAGAGAGAGAGAGAGAGACAGAGAGGCAAGTAAAGCGAGGGCTTCGTTAGCGACGGGGAACCGTAACGAAACTGCACTTATTCAAATATGACTCGCCCAAGAAAAAAGTCGAGCTGTTGTGGGCTCTCATTTTCCCTTTTTCTCTCTCTCTCTCTCTCTCTCTCTCTCTCTCTCTCTCTCTCTCTCTATATATCTTTATCTCTCTAACTTGCTCGTAATTTTCGTGTCTTTCCAATGCAGTGTTCCAGGCGATTCGCCGCCTTCCCATACTTCTACCAACGACGACTAATCCTCGGCACACTAATGTCATATTAATTGCAGTTTTGCGTTAACACCGCCTTCCGCGCTCTCTTTCTAATGTACAAAGGCGGTACAAGCTGTACTTCCTGTCCACGGAGTCCTGTTCCTCTACTTTATTCACGTCTTGCAACGTCGCGGCTCTATTAATAGGCTCGTTATAACGGAATGAGATCTTTGGCTGTTTGTTTGTATTGTTATCCATCTCTCCTCCTTGTATTCGTCAAAATCAATAAGAGAATAGCGGCGATGAGTCAGAAGCTCGAGCTTCCGTTTGAGCTTTCGCAGAGGGAAATTATACTCCGATCCCTATTTACCAAGTCACGATCGTTCATTCGATGCGATCCGCTGAAACGGTGGATGGGAATGCTAAATTTTTTTTAAATCCCGATTGGCCACTGACAAAAAACATAAATTTAATAGACATTTCCAGTCGAAATGGCTACAAATGTTCGGTTTATAGTTTTCGTTACGTATGACGGGGAAAACGAATCTAGCATTCGTATTATTGCGATACACGCAGCCAAGAGAAACTGGCCTCTCATCTCAACTCGGATGCTTCGAATCTGAAACTTGGACGAGCGAATAAAGTTCCGTAGCTATGCCACGTACGTTTCAGCCTTCGTCACCGCTAGCCAATCCCCAGCATCTAGAACGAATCCTCCGTGTGAAGGTCATCGTGTTCGTCGAGGCATTGATGCGGAAGTAGATGAGTGTGAAAGGGCGAGAATTCAAAGGCGATAGAGATTGCGCGCACCAGGACCCGAACGACGCGTACAACATCAAGCCCTTCCGGCCCTTCCGTTCCATCCCCGAGACAATGGTAAGCGATCATCGCATCCCCCAGCCCCGCGTCCCCCGCCATCTCTTTAGGAAGTAAGTGCCGTTCATGGGCGCTCGCTTTCCCCTTTTCGAGTGCATCGGTTAACCGCAGGGCGCATCCTGGAGGCAGAGTCGCGATTGCCGGGGACTCTCAGACAGTCCTTCCTGCCGGTCATTGAGTTCGCGGCGAGCGTCGCGCATTATCGAGTGACTTCCGGCCACCCGTCCCTTGCCTAGACGTCGTGTATGCTCTCGTCGTCACTGTCGGGCTTGCAGAGGCTCCCCGGCGTCTCGGACGACTCCCGTGGTGGCGACGTTCGCTCGACGCTCTTGTTGCTGTTGCTGTTGCTGTTGTTGCTGTTGCTGTTGCTGTTGTTGCTGTTGCTGTTGCTGTTGTTGCTGTTGCTGTTGCTGTTGTTGCTGTTGCTGTTGCTGTTGTTGCTGTTGCTGTTGCTGTTGTTGCTGCTGATGTTGTTGCTGATGCTGATGCTGCTCCATAGCCTCGGCACCGGGACTGTCTCGGCTGTAGTAGCTGCTGAGGCTATTGAGGGTCGAGCTGGCGGCGAGGCCGCCGAGAGGTGCGCTCGGGCCGGCGAGCATCATCGCCGGGGGGTAGAGCCGATAGGGCATGGGCTTCTGAAGGGTGACCACGGCACCGTGAGTCTGCCGATAGAGGAGGTCGTTCTGCGCGTGGTGGGCGACAGCGGCCGCGGCCCCGGGATACGGCCAGTAGGGCCCGGCCGAGGGGTGGGCCGGAACCCCGGCTGCCGAGTAGAGGCGCTGAAAGGCAGCGAAGTTGCCGGCCTCCGCCATTATCTCGAAGCCGACCATCGTCTGCCGTTTCCATTTCGTCCTGAAAGCAAATGAAAGAGGAATCCAAGAATTAGAGAAATGGCTCGGGAGTTTCAGCTGGTTCAGAGTTTTGGGGTGGACAAATCTACCACGTAGAATAGTTGTGCTATGCCTATTGTACTAAGATGGTTCACGAGAAGAGTTTCGAATTATAGTCTCTAAAGCGTTCGAAGCGGCTTTTCCCTTCGACAAAGATGATGCAAATAATTAGTTTCTTAGACAGTGTCTGAGAACTGTTGTGTCATCGCAATTTAAATATATAATCGTCAATGTTGTAAATGGCCGTTTTGTTTATATATATATATATATATATATATATGTCATGTGGATTGGTGAAGTAGAGCTTGATGTTCTCAATAGTTCACTAGATTATATATATATTTACAAATTGACCTACAACAAACTATTATTAATATAAAAAAATTAATGCATTTTATTCACAAACTCAAACTAAATTTAAACATCATCGAGATCTTTATACAAACATATACATTTATGTAGCGTAAATTAATAAGCTTAGTTCTATAAGTTTTAGAAATACATAATGTAACTAAAAAATCTTACGAATGTCATTAGGTAATGAAAGTGTAAGAGTTGTATCAGTGTAATAAAAACTTTATTTTTCATTTCAAACGTCAGATAAATCATTTAAATTTTTAATCTTTCAATTTTGTTGCATTAACGAATAAATTTAGAGTGGCTTTAAACGCACGCACACACACATTTTTATGCGTTACAGAGTGAAATGAAAGCAGCGCGTTAAAATTTTAAGAAAGTCAAAATTTTACTTTGAGAATGCAATTTGAAAACGTAATGTCGTAATACTAATAGTTTTAATCGATGTAAAGTACCATTAAAATGGCAAATCCGCGACAAAAATCCGGAGCTCGTATAAATCTAATAATAAAAGTGAGTTGTTGGCTGATATATATTTAGACTTTGAAATATATTAGTACTCGAGATGTATAAATTTTGACGATGGAAGATAATTTTTTTTTTATTTATTTATTTATTTATTTATTTTTTTCTTTATCAACTAACACAATCGTTTTTACTAGATATGTGAATTTTTTATGCTCATAAAAAACTTTAATGAATTGCCGGGCGATTCTTATCTTTACGTGCAATTTATGAGAATTCGGTAAAATTACCATACTTATTCCCCGTACTTTTCAAATCACTATCCAATAAAATCCCGTAAACACTGTCATTTCATTAAAAACGGCAAAATATTAATTCGAATACTATTTATATTCTAAACGTTTCCATGCAGACAAATAGCCACTCGAGGAAACTTTACTGTCACAACGCAATTGTTAAATGTAGAGTCATAACTGTTCTTCGTTAAAAAATAAATCCATACAAAGTAAAGTCATTCTATAAATTGTATTATACGTACTCGTGTGCGGCTAATGTCGCATTTCACGTAATTGCATATTTATTCAAAATTGATTTATGGCAGCACCGGATAAGCCTCGACATTATTATATTAACTCGGAAATGTTGTCAACGATACTGGCCAATCGAGTCTGACGCTTTATGTTTCAGCATTTACAAGGAGATTTCGGGTTTCCTTGTCAAGTACCGATTCCCGTCACGAGCGATCGTTTACCACATAAACTTTACAACTTTTCGCTCATTATAAGGAAAAGCAGTGGTTGGTTTCTCAAGGAGAGAACGGTAAGAACGGGTACGTACGCGGATTCGTTTAATATTAAAATCTCGCTTGCATGTGCGATTGATGGAAGACTGAAGCGGGGGGAGGGGGGTGGTGGTCTGTACGACCGTAGTCCCGAGCCTGCAATCATACCCAAAAGCGCGGGCGATAATAAAGTCGATCACGCGGGAATCTCGTCGATAACATATTGCGGCGTAACAATCCCCGCATGTAAATCGCTCCATCTGGAACAATTACGCTAAAACCGGGGTGGCGTGCCGTGGTACGGTTACGCGGCGGCCCTTATTATACTAACAAATAGCCTGGCGAAATCTAATCGCCGCGTATCGTACCCAGAGCCGTGCCAATGTCTCTCTCTCTCTCTCTCTCTCGCTCTCTCTCTCTCTCTCTCTCTCTCACTCGCATTCTTTTCTTCGTGCTTGAGTAATGCAACGACGCGCGTAAAATTGTAGAGGTGTGAGTATCGTCGTTACTCGGGGAGGAGGGGGGGGGATACCGAACGCGACCAACGACTTGTCTCGTGTTCTCGTCGAGGAAGAGACGTTTGTCTTTTTTACGTTTTATCGGCCATGAACGAGGCGCGGCCATTATCCGATCTTTTGACGGCACTTTCCTTAGCTACATTAGGCTGTCTTTTTAAATACGTTGCTCTCGAGGAGATAATTACACACTGCCTCGCGTTCCTTACTCGCCGTTACCCTAAACGGACGAAAAGTTCAAATTCAAGTCCTTGACATTAATGAGATTATTATTTGGCTAATCAATTGTATTTAAGGCATAGAGTTTGTTATTTTATTGCTGAAAAATATAACATTAATACGGACAATGGAACTGACCGCTCGATGTAAAAATACTTTATCTCTAATTTCATTCGACGATAATATGTTAAATGACAAATTATTCGGTTGATTAGGAATATCCGATGAAAATGTTAATTTAATTATTATTTCTATTAATTGATAGAATTCGTCCACGAGCATCTAACGTATGGAATATCACAAGCACATTTTATGGATATTCCAAAGCTAATTAACCGGTATAAACAACCTTGTAGGAAGGTACATTAAATCGCTATTAATATGAGAATTTATCGAGTTAGACGTTAATTTAAAAAACACAGTTATAAGAATATTAAATTCCTGGCGGAGGAAACGTTAAGCCCTTTCGAAGGCACACAACCAATCATTATCCACGGTCTTATAGTCACGAAATCTATGGGGATCTTTTTCCTCAACCGGATATTCTCGTCTACACTTGAAGGAGTGCATGCCTTACCGGCGCGCTCCATTCAATTTTCAATGACAAAGCTCATTGAGCTCAAACGACCTATCAACGTAATTAATAATAGCGGGGCGCGACGCTTGCATCAAGCGACGCCTAATTACCGTGGCAAGAATTAAAGCGATACGCGCACCAATGATTCACGCGCGCGTATAATAATCGTGTCCGCGATAGGGAATTTTCTTATAATCGGGCTATCGAGCATTCCCTCGTATCGCAATGATTATGGCCGGGAATTTACATAACTATATCGTCTCGTTCGGGAAGCGCGCAATTTTGACTAATGGCTATAAGCGTAGGCCGAGGATGGGAGGACGCGAGGGAAGAAAAATTATCGCCGCCTGCGGGATAATAGAGAGGATCGCCGTGTACGGTGACTGCGACACCAATAACATCGGTCATTTTTATTTTTCCCAACGAGAGTCAGCTCGCGCATGCGAGAAATTCGACAATTAATAAATTTCGAAAACTACCCTCCTTATCGAGTGAGTTGTATAAAAATAAAGGGATGAACGGATTACACACAGCGTGAGGGGTTGGGGGATGGGGATGGTAATGGGG